GGTCACCTCACATGGCTTGGAGTTTTTTAACAATATTAATACTATATGCGCAAGAATTTACAAAGATATAAATTTGCAACCTCATATGTACTTGCCTAGGATTCTGAGGATGGTAAGTTTGTCTCGAGACGTTACAATCAGTAAGATTTAATAGTAAATTTTTAGGGTTTCATTCACTGATATCTTAAATAGTACAAATCGATTAAGTGCTTTGCAGGTATTGTAGGAGTAGGTAACCTCGTCCGAATAAGGAGATTTTAGTAGCGATGGGCCAAAAGAAATCATATATTTATGATTTAGATTTTAGCAACCACTATTTCCCTAATTTCTTGATTTACTGACAGATTATAAAGATTCTTTACAGATTAAGTAAGATCATTTTGACATTACTTCAAGTTGGCGTGCCAAATGCTTATGAGAAAGCCCACGAGATAGAGATTAACTGCCTGCTGCCTCTTTAATTACCAAAAAAGACTATTAATTTAATTACCAGCTCAAGCCTGGATTGTGTATCTTAACATTTTTGGATGCTTATATTGATAAAAAGGTATCCTTGGATGCTGGTGTTTCTGACTCTTTTTCGTTCTAACTAAAAATTCTCCAAACTGTGGTTATTTCTAACATTATGCTGTTTCAAGCTAATAGTGCTTGATCTAGTGGTCAATTAATTTCTATGTTATTCAATATCTTTTCCTTGTGTAGCATGTGGCAAGAAGAAATTTTCATACTTTAAACAGTATTTCTACAATCTATTATCTCCTACTGACTTCTAACAGTACGCTTTCCCTGGAAAGCAGAGAAAAATACTTGATCAGGTTCATCCCAAAGGGATGGTTTAGTTATTGAGATATTGAAGTAACAAGCTGGGAATCTGAAATCCAGATTCAGTTATAACACTAAATGTGAGCTCCAATCTTTGTGGGCAGATTTATTCAACAATCACAAATAAACAATTTGGCTATCCATCTTCTAAAGACAATAAATAATGGTAAAGCTTTCATTTATATGCTTTTCTTGAAGGCTTTGTACATAAGTTTACAACTTAACTCTTTCCTAGCAAGATGAAAACAAAAACTGGAAATTCTAAGCTAGTTCTAGTCTGAAGCTCAGAATGCTACTTCAATATGGCTCTTCATTTCATAAATTCAGTCGAGAAGTCACATCAACAAAATCATTCTCATTGCAAGGTATTGTTAGACCACTCGTTGGATGATGAAATCCAAATTCTTCTTCTGCTTTGCGTAACAAGTTCTGGAAAGAAGGATGATTCAGGTATGTAATGGGCACAACATATCGTTTCTTCTCTTTCTCACCTACATAAACTGCAAAATGTCCTTTAGGAACATCTGATTGATTCCTTGTAACAATGGATTGCAGTTTGTGCATTTGCTTGACACTGGAAATCATTGGTAACAAACGGAACACCATGACTTCTTGATATGTCAAGTATTGGAGGTTTGATTATTTTTTTACTGAAGTAGGACTTGTTTAGATTGATATAGATTTGTGTTTGATCTGGAATTTGTTGTGAAATTTGCACCAGGAAAAGGTTGTATTTATAGAACTGCTTGCATATAATTCAGCGTGAAGTGGCCAAGTGGCTAAAGAACCTGTCCCATTCCTTTGAAGTTATTGCATATATAGCTACAACAAAAACATTCAAAACATTACCATGTGATGTGATGAGAGGATGTGTATATCAGAAGCCACCAACCAGAACATCTGGAAATGGTGTCGAACACCACTTGACCTCTTGGTTATTTATATTCTGTATCATCTTATGTGAAGGTATTTGACTGAGCATTGACTTTAAGAAATTAAAATACTTTTGACGTGTAAGTCAAATATATAAAAATAATACCAAAATTAGCTTTTAAAATGAGTGGTGGTTGGAGTTTCCAAAAAGATAAATGTGTTATTCCGAAAAGCTTTAAAAATTGTATCACTGGGAGAGAGTTAAAAGGTTTGGAACTTTGGTTACGATTGGTCACATGGCTAAGCTCAGACACATAGCTGAGAAGAAAAGAAAAAAGTTGTACTAAAAGCTATATCCCTAATTCCTGAAAATAATGCAGTCACTGTAACAAGATTTAAAAGGCTTCACTTGTCCTTATGCAAGCAACTACATCTTGAGCTGCTATAATTTCAATCTTGATTATGCCACAAAAAAGGCCAGTCGTAAAACAGAAATATTGCAGCAAATCATGTGATTGGTTCCACACTGGCACTTTAAAGAAAAATGCACTGCACGCGGACACAATGACACGAGCTTCAAATCCATTACTCAAAACTAGGAAAGTTATTTATTCACAATCCCAGTTAGGTTGTTTATAGACATTTTGGTGTAATTGCCTTCGACTTTGATAAGGATTTAACTTTTATATAGTTATAAAGAAAATTATTTACATTATCAGGTCACTTAAAGCTAATTAAAAGTTACTCTCTTCGTTTTATTTTATCTGATACACTTTGATTGAGCACAGAGTTTAAGAAATAAAGACTAAAACACGCCATAGATACTATAAATCATCTTATTAAGTTGTACTGTTATCGGAATAATGCTTCAGAATACATTGGTAATGAAGCTAGCAGTGCCCCTCAGCGTATTTCACAATTCCACTCATCCACAGTTTTCTATTTAAATTTGGCTTTGTGAAATAGTATCTGTTTTTAGCCCTCATTATAATTCAATTAAGATTGGTTTATTTTGCTGCTGTCAAAATGAATAATTAGTAGCTTATCCTGACATATCTGCCCTACCAGTTTGGATGTTTCCTTTTCTGCATTTCTTCTGAAGAGCACTTGTCCTATAGGTACAAACTACCTGTGATTATGAGGCCATTTTAATTTATCCGGGTACTATTTTGGTGCAGGTTGTTATATTCATCCAATATCCAATCATTGATACAAGTTTGTCTTTCTGTAGATATTTAGTTAACTGTCCATATTTGACTTTAAAGACATCTTATTCATGCATTTAATCTTGCATAAAGTGTCAAGATTTGCTTTGTACTAAATGTAATACGCGGATTTTCTTTGGCTTGTATTAAAATACAGCACCAGATTTTTATGCTGTATGAGATTGAGCTTGTTTAGCTTTTACTGATGTTTCCCTAGTTTCTCTATTTACTGACAGATCACTGTCAATCAAGATCTTTTACAGAAATTAAATAATCATCTTAGCTTAACTTCTATTATCCTAAATTCAAATTCCATCTCCAATCTTGGTGGTAGCTTAACGCAACACATTTACTTCTGGCAGTAACTTTTATTCCCTGTGAATGTATCAGGGAGAAGTGGTCAAGTGGCTAAAGGATAGAGCCCATCCCTATAAAGTTATTGTATGGCTTATTCTGATAATATTACTAATGCATCAGGAATAGCTAGCCGTAGAATGGACTTTCACTACAGTACGGACACCATGTGACCTCCATTTCTCATTCACACCTCTTATCTAATTAGATAAAAACCCAACAAGATCATTTTGACATTACTTCAAGTTGGCGTGCCAAATGCTTATGAGAAAGCCCACCAGAAAGAGATTAACTACCTGCTACTTCTTTAATTACACAAAAATTTAAAAAGAAAAAGAAATTCGAAAGACTACTACATATTAATTTACCAAGTCAAGTGTGGTTATTTCTATCATTAGCTTCTAGTATTACTAGAACTTTTTACGCCATTTCAAGCTAATAGTGCTTGATCTGGTGGTCGATTAATTTCTGTATTGTTCACTATCTTTTCCTTGTGTAGCATGTGGCAAGAAGAAATTTTCATACTCTAAAAAGTCTTTCGTCAATCTATTATCTCCCACTGACTTCTGATAGTACACTTTCCCTGGAAATGTGAGCTCCAATCTTTTTGGGCAGATTTATTTTACAATTGTATTGTGGATATGGCAGACTGTCCAGTAGTTTAGTCGAGGTGCAGTACACAAGCTGTTCGAGGCACCACGGTTGTAATACAAAAGAATCCATGAATTTCACAGATAAAGAATTTGGCTATCCATTTTCTAAAGACAATAAATAGTGGTAAAGATTTCATATGCATGCTTTTCTTGAAGGCTTTGTACATAAGTTTACAACTCTTTCTTAGCGAGTGGAAAACAAAAACTGAAAATTCTTAGCTAGTCCTAATCTGAAGCTCAGAATGCTACTTCTTGGCTCTTCATTTCATAATTTCAATCGAGAAGTCACATCAACAAAATCATTCTCATTGCAAGGTATTGTTAGACCACCCATCGGATGATGAAAGCCATATTCCTCTTCCGCTTTGCGTAATAGGTTCTGGAAAGAAGGATGGTTCAGGTATGTTATAGGCACAACGTACCGTTTCTTCTCACTCTCTCCGACATAAACTGCAAAATGTCCTTTTGGAACACCTGTATGATTTCTCGTAAGAAGAGCCTGTAATTTGTAGACTTGCTTGGCACTGGAAATCATTGGTAACAGACGAAATCCCATGGCTTAACTTCTTGATATGTCAAGTATTGATGTTTGATAAAATTGATTGAAGTAGGACTTGTTTAGATTGATAAAGATTTATGTTTGGTCTGGAATTTGTTGTGAAGTTTTCACAGGAAAAGGTTATATTTATAGAGTTGCTTGCATATAATTTCATCGCGTGTCAGCTGTAGTGTGCAGTATCTTAATCCCCTGAGAATGCATCAGCGTGAAGTGGTCAATTCAAATGGCTAAAGAACCTGGCCCATTCCTTTGAATTTATTGCATAAATAGCAGGTCATACAACAAAAGATCTCAAAACATTACCATGTGATGTGATGAGAGGAAGTGTATATCAAAAACCACTACCCAGAACATAATGTAAGTGCAAATATAGCTTTTGATGGCTTAAACTCTTCATGATATTTATATTCCGTTTGTATGTGACGGTATTTGACTAGACTTTGAATTTAAGAAATCAATATTTTTGACGTGTAAGTCAAATCTATAAATAGTACAAAAATTAACCTTTAAAATGACTGGTGGTCAGAGTTCCCGAAAAGAGAAATGTGTATTCCAAAAATCTTAGAAAAACGTATCACATAAAGTAGGAGAGAGTTAAAAGGTTAAGAACTTTGGTTACGAGCATAGCTCTGCAGAAAACAAAAAAGCTGTACTAAAGTATATTTCCTTATTCCTGAAAATAATGCATTCACTCTAACAATGTTGAAAAGGCTTCACTTGTCATTATGCAAGTGCCTGCATTTGAGCTGCTATAGTTTGAATCTTGATGATGCCACAAATAAGGGGGTTGTACAATGGAAATATTGCACCAAATCATGTGATTGGTTCCACACTTGCACTTTAAAGAAAAATGCACTGCACGTGGACGCAATGACACAAGCTTCAAATCCATTACTCAAAACTGGGAAAGGTATTTATCCACAAAAGCGTTTAGGTTGTTTATAGACATTTTGGTGTAATTGCCTTCGATTTTGAGAAGGATTTAACTTCTAAATAGTTACAAAGAGAATTCTTACATTATTAGGTCACTTAAAGCTAATTAAAAGTTACTCTCTTTGTCTCATTTTGTTTGATGCAATTTGACTGAGCACAGAGTTCAAGAAAAAACGATAGGCTTTTGAAGATTGTGGTATAAAACATGCTATAGATATTTGTGTGGCTATACATCATTGTATTAATTTGTACTATCACCGGAATAATGCTTCAGAATACATTGGTAATGAATCTAGCAGTGCCCCTCGGCTTATTTCACAATTCCACTCATCCACAGTTTCCTATTTAAATTTGGCATTGTGAAATAGTATCTGATTTTGGCCCTCAATATAATTCAATTAGGATTGGTTTATTTCGTGCTGTCCCAATGAATAATTAGTTGCTCATCCTGACATATCTGCCCTACCAGTTTGGATATGTCCTTTTCTACATTTCTTCTGAAGAGCACTTGTCCTATAGGTACAAACCACCTGTGATTATGAGGCCATTTTAATTTATCCGAGTACTGTTTAGGTGCAGGTTGTTATATTCATCCATTATCTTATCATTGATACAAGTTTGTCTTTCTGTAGATATTTAGTTAAGTGTCCATATTTGACTTTAAAGACATACTATTCATGCATTTAATCTTGTATAAATAAGGTTTGCTTTGTACTAAAAGTGAATAGACAGATTTTCTTTGGCTTGTCTTAAAATAAAGCATCAGGTTTTTATGCTGTATGGGATTGAGCTTGTATAGCTTTTACTGATGTTTCCCAAGTTTCTCTATTTACTGACAGATCACTGTCAGTCGAGATCTTTTACAAAAATCCTTATGAGAAAGCCCAGAGGATGGAGATCAGTTGCTAGTGGAGAAGAATAAATGATAATTTTGTCCCTAACTTGGAGATCCTAAATTCACATTCCATCTCCAATCTTGGTGGTAGGTTAACTCAACACATTTACTTGTGGCCATAGGCTTAGTCATGGTATACACGAGATGGCTCAAACACCATCGCCATAATAAAGAAAAGAATACTGTCAACCACCAGCAGTTGTTGTTATGGCCTATGGCTCTTGTTGGGGGGAGGGGGTACCT